CCGAGGCTACTCTAAACATCTCTTCCCTCCCTCTGCTTCCTCTTTCCTCCTCCACCCGCTTCCTCTGCTTTCTCATCCTGCACCTGGCCCACCTTAGCCACAAACCTTGACCTGAGGAGCCATCAGCAACGAGCAGAGGTTTCTCACTCTTTTCCTTCAGATTCTTGTGAGAGGGAATCTGTTTGGCTCAGACTATGTGATGGAGCCAGGGCCACTCAAGTCTCCCCTAGCCAACGACCCCTCGGATCAGTGCACACCTCTGGTCCAGTTAGCCTTGGTTGCCCCTCCCAGGGTGAGAGTGATTGAGTTTATTTCAGGAGTGGCCTGGCAAACAAGGAAACTTATCTCTTGCAGAGATGTGGGACGTGTCTTTGCCCAAGCCCTCATCAGGGACAAGGCTGTGGATGAGGAGCTCATGCCACTGACCTGTGAGATCTGACCTTGAACTCTGAGAGACTCGAGGAATGTCTGACAACTCATGGGCTTCGTTTACATCCTCAAATTTACAAGACAAGATCTGCTTGTTTATGTTCCCTCATGGTCTTCAGGGTTTTGCTTAATGAGTACTACAAACCCTTCCTGTTCTGCTGGAATTAAACAGCTTAAGATTCATCCTTTTGGCTACTTAATTTTACTGCTTCTTTTGCCACAGAGAGTGTAAACTTCCTGAAAGGAAAATTTAAGATTTGGAGACAATCTTAGAGATTATAGAGCCCAATCCTCTCATTTTACAGGTGTGGAAACTGAGGTCCAGAGAGAGAGGAAGTGTCACGCAGCAGGACAGGATCAGGTGGGACCTGGAACCTCATTTTACACACGTTCTTCCCCATCGTGGCTTAGCGTGCCTTATGCGTATCATGCTTCCAGTAAATACTCATTGGTTTATTTCTTATTTCGCTTTTCTCAAGCTCTTTGTTCTCTGTTCTTGTTCCTTCCTCCACTACCAACTTCAACCTTAGGGGATCACTTTGCACCTGTCTTTGAGGCCTTGGTGTTTGGGGCTGTGCAGTGGAAGCTGAGATGAGGCATGGGTGAAATTTAACCTGGTTCTACCAAGCCATAATCTCTCCAGGCCAACACCACTGTAACAGAGCGTAGACTCTAGACCAGTAACTTCTTTCCTCCTGTGGGGTCAGTGGCCACCAAACTGCAGGAGGAAGCCACTCTCTAGCTCCTACCAAAAGTCACTACTTCTGCAATGCCTCCCCACTGCTGGCCTTTACTCAATGGGAAGTTTTGAGTGGATCTAGTCTCATCTTCCTTCCAGAAGCCTTCTCTGACCATTGCAGCCTGCTAGGAACCCTTAGTTCACTTAAAAGCACCTACACACAGTGTCAGCCTATTATCTCTTGGGTGTCAGCCTGTCTCCTCAGCTCCTGAAGGCAGGGGCTTCTCCCCTCAGCACTCTGGTGGGTTCCCACCAGGCCCTCAATAAATGTAGTGACCGGTGACGGCTAACTTTTCCCTAGAAAGGCTACAGGGCTGGGGGAGAAGGAATGGGAAGAAAGGAGAAATGTTTCTTTTGCTAGGGTCTTAGGCAAGTGTGGATTAGGAGAAGCAACTGCTTAAAACAGAAAGAAACACTGTGACTTTTCATTTGCAGGCAATGTGATAAGTCAGACAAAAGCAACTCCTGGCCACTCAAAATCTGCCACTACTAAACCAAACCAGTGTCATTTCTCCCCAGGAAATTTCCAGTTCATTAACTTTGCACCAGTAGCTCTTCCACCCCAAGCCTGCAGGCTGAACTTGAGATCACCTACAGAGCAGAACAGGAAGGACAGATGAGGGCCAGCCTCAGGCCTCCCACCTGGGGAGCTTTGGTCTGAGGGATCCACAGAACCTTCTTCCCAAAGGTCCCAGTCCAGCCTGAAGTGCCCATCATCAAAGGCCATATCAGAGAGCTCTAGATAAGAAAACAAAAATGTCAGGGTTTGAAGAGAGAATGAAAAGAGTATATTATTGTACATTAATGAAGGTATTACACAATTGGAGGTGAAGCAGAGAGCCAGGCTTTGAGGATATAGAAAGCAGGAGGTAAATTTTGATGGGCAGAGAGAGCAATGTGGGGGCCCAGAGAAGCACTGCCCCAAGAAGGCCGCCTTGAGTGGGGTGACACACGATGGGGGTCCTTGGGCAGCAGGGGAGGCAGCGGGAGAGTGTAAACCCCTGCCAGCTGCTGAGGGGATTGTGAGAGGTAGGCCAGTAGGAGGTAAGGTCTAGAATCAGGCCAAGGTTCCTTGAAGACAACCCTAACTTATTTCACACATTAAGGTGATTCACTCTCAGGAATCCTCCCTGCAACACCAGCTCTTCTGGCCTGAGTCAGCAGAAAGAAAAATCCAGGGATCATTCTCAGGGGCCAGAAAGACCTGGAATGAGAAAGAATGGACCATCACTGAGCACTTTGCACATAACAAAGCCAGTTAAATACATTATCACCATTGGTTCTCACAAGGCTAAGAAAGGTTGTTGACGAAGCTGCCAGGGTCTCCCCATCTGGAGTTTCAGTAAGTTGCCCAAGGTTGCAAAGACAGAAAGTATTAGGCCTGGGATTCAAACCCGAGGGTCAGGCTGTTGTCCCCACTACCCCACTGACCCTAGACACAGGCCCCAAACAGAGGTGTGTGCTCTCTGCAGTCATTTTACATTCTGCACATTGCTGAGCCTCTCCTCACCTCTGAGGATGTGAGTTAAAGCAAAAGCTAAGCCAAGACCCAGACAATTCCATTCTTGTTTCCTTTGCAGGTGGTGTCTGTCACACAATGTGCAAAACCAACACCCACAACAAGGTAAGTAAATGGGAATTTGCTGAGTAGATAGGTTTCAGTACTATTATTTAATATTTTGTAAACCCAGGAAATCTTCCAGATGTTAAAACATAAAAACAACACTGCTGAGCCAATGAAGCATAAATGCTAAGAAGGACAAACCAGCAGGAAGAGTCAGGTGTTCCTTTGGAGGGGGCTCTGGACCTGGCACCCACACAACTGGCTTCCGGTACCCACCTGCCTTTTAACAATTCATGGCTGCAGATAAGTCATTTAAGCCTCTGCACCTGCTGCCTCCTTCTAGAAGGAAGGGATGACACCCACTGTGCCCTTTGGTTCTAGAGTCAAATGAGCTGCTCTACAGGATGTGAATGTTTATGCTGCTTTGCTTTCCTTTGAGACCGGGCTCAGGCAATGGCTGAAGCCTAGAAGACAAGCTCTCCACACAAAACAAAATCCCACCCATCCTTCAAGGCCCGCATCAAGCCCCACCTCTTCTGGGAAGCATCCCAGGGTGCTTCTGCCCTCTAGACTCACCCTCTAGCCACGCCCCCTTTCCTGTGCTGCTCCCCCCCCCACCTGCTCCCCAACAACAACCTGCCCTTTCCACCTTGCCAAATTGCTGGGACCTTCAGAATTAGCTCTCTCCTCTCATCTGGAGCCTTTGTCTCCTGTAGCCTTAGTCAGATGCTTACCCCTTCCTTTGCTTTCATTAAAACCTTAGTAATTCTTTGCTCAAGCACCACTTCCTCCAGGAAACGTTCCGGACCCTCTCCCACCCCCATCCACCCTCCATCCTGATGGGCTGTTCCTGGGGGTAGGGGGTTTCCACACCACGTCGTGCTTATCTCTATGTCAAGAGTTGCCTTATCCGTTATACTTTCAGTGACTGTGGTCCCTATACTAGACTGAGCTCCTTGAGGGCACAGACCGAGGGTCTTACCTGTCTTGGCATTCTTAGACGTGAGGGCACAGACCGAGGGTCTTACCTGTCTTGGCATTCTTGGACGTGCCTGGCTTGTGGAAAGTGCTCACCAAATGCTATGTGAATTACTGAATAAATGGATTTCTACAGCAGTTATACTGTGTCACACATTTCCTCCAATGAGTTTCTAACCTCCTTGCTTGGTGGGGCTTTGCAACATCTTATAATCCTCCTGAAGGCCTCTCTGTGCCAAGCTCAGGTTTTTTCTTTTTTTTTTTTCGGACCGGTAAGGGGATCGCAACCCTTGGCACGGTATGGTCCACACCACGCTCAGCCAGTGAGCGCACTAGCTATCCCTATATAGGATCCGAACCCGCGGCCTCGGCGCTACCAGCGCCGCACTCTCCCGAGTGAGCCACCGGGCCGGCCCCCAAGCTCAGTTTTAACCAAAATATGGGTGATTTGGTTAGTGATTACTGAATTACCCACTGCACTGAATTCTCCCAACTACCATGTCCAGCCCTTAGCTTGGCCAATGGAAAATTAATTGGTTGCAAAGTGCATATCTAATTACAACCTCCCGCCCTTGCCACAGAGATGCTCAAATGTTAATTATAACATATGCATCTCAATAACCGACGTTGGCATTTAAGGCAGCATTAATAACGCCAGTTGAGTCCCCTCCCTCCGTCCCCCGCCCCCGCTCCCGCCCCGTGCATACACAAAGCTCCCTTTTATCTGCCATTAGGGCAGACTTAGCACTTTAATCACAGAAGCCCTCATCCTTAAAGGCTTTTTGACTCCACATGTTTCCCTGCAAACTTGAGCCGCGCCTATGCCCCCACTTCTCCCTCCGCAGAGGTCCCCACCCAGGGCCGCGCCAGCGCCGTGGAGTCTTCGGGCGGCGGGTTTCCGCGTTGCTAGACTGGGCCGTCCCGGCGGCACTGCGCTCTCCAGGGCCCGCCGTCCCGGGAAAGAAAGGCGAACTACATTACCCAGCAGGCTTCCCGCCGCCCTCTTTCCTTTCAAGTCTTTGCACGTGGCCGGAGGGGAGGGAGGGGCCTGGACGTCACTCTCCGACGTTCTCTTTCCCTGTGTCAGATCGGGGATCGTTTTTTTCCTTCCTCTACTCCCTCCCCCCGACCCGCCCCTCCCTCCCTCTGTCCCTTCCCTCCCTCCCTCCCCTGTCGGTTTGGTCTGTACGCTGGGGCGCCCGATCCCCTCCGCAGCTGGGACGCGCCGAACTCCAGGCAGGAGTCGGCTCTGCGGAGCCTCGTCCCTCCCTTCCCCTTCCCTGCCCCCTTCCCCCACCCCGGACTCGGGCTTGGCGCCGCGGCCAGAAGACCCCCGAGGTGAGCATCCCCTCGTCAGTCCTCCTCTTTTAGTCATCTCAGCTTGCAGATCGATTCGGGGACTCGGGAGGAGGGCTGCGTGACGTGCGCGTGCTTACAGATAAATCCGGGAAAACCACCCCAAACAATTAGCCCCCTTGCTCCTCCCTGCGCTTCGGCCAGCCGGGCGTCCGCACCCATCCGCTGTCCCCTCCTCCCCCTCTGGGGGGACCGCACTCCACAATCTCGCCCCCTCCCTGGGTTTGTCTCATTCCCTGCCCCGTTCTTTCTCCCGACCCGTGGAGAGCCGTGGCCCTGGAGATCCAGCGCCGAGGGGGGTTCGGGGATGGGGGACACGGCTGGAGCCCAGCTCGCACTGGAGCCGCGCGGTGTAGCCGCTGTCATGTGCGGGTTCCGACCCGGGGGGAGGAAGGGAGCTAGCGTGATTCCTCTCCCTTTTGTTTTGAAGCCCGCATTTGCTGCATCAAGCAGTTGGTTTAGTACCAGCCAAACTTGCAGCTGTTCTGACCGCCCTGCGCGGAGGTAGGGAGCGCGCCATGGGGCCGGGGTCTGCTGCACTTGGGGCTGCCGAAGGGACCCCGACAGTGTCTCCACGCCGCCCCTCCCTCCCCTGGTGACTGATTGTGTCTGTGGCAGCGGCCGTGCATGTGTGTGCGCGCCCGTCCCCGCGGGCTCGGGGATGTCTGTGGATGGCTGTCGTCTAGACAGGTTGCAGCCCCCTCCCTCCGTCCCCGATGAGCCCGCGGGGCGCGGGGGACGCGGAGGATGGGGGCAAAGGATGACACCGAATCGGTGGATCGCAGCTTTGGCCGTTCCCCGCGGTTGCGATTCTATTGGCTTTTTTATTGTCATTTTTGTCGCCGCGGTGTAATCGGGCCCGGGGAACAGATACGCCCGGCGGAGCGGGGGTTAAGTTGACAGGCTCTGAAAAGCCAGCTCTCGGTGGCGAGTGACCCGAGCAGCCTCGGGGTGGGCTCTGGCTCGGGTTCATTAGGACGACGACCAGGTGACTGTCCCTGGTGCCGGTCTTGGGGGAGGGCGGGAGGAGGACAGTGGCTTGGGCTGCGGCGGAGGTCTGGGGCCCCCAGAGCCGCGTGCCGGTGCCTGGATGCGACTGGCGTCCCGGGGACCTCTCGTTTGAGCTGGGTTTTTCTCTCCATCGACTTTAAAAGACAGTCGGGGGTCCGAGCCCCTTATCTGCGCGGCGTTGGCTCTTTGTGGTTTCGCGGAGTTTTCAGGGTTGGGGCTGGGGGCGTGTGTGAACAGGGAGGGGGTGCGGTGCGTGGAGGGGTGGCTCGAGGCGTCGCTTCCCCCGCCCGGCTGTTTGTGTGTGTACACACCGCTCTGGCGTGTGTACGTGGGGGAGGGCGGGGACCGCAGACCGCGGCGTAGTGGGGACGCGCGTGGGCCCCGATCTCCTGCGGGAACGGTCCCGCCAGCCCCCTTGTCGTCCGAGTTGGGCTCGTTGTCGCGTGTGTGTCTGCGCGCGCGCCCGGGTTACTTGGAGAGGGGATCTTGCGGCTGTAGGCCGGGGGAGACCCTGGGGTCGCTTGTGCTCGTCATCCGTGTGGGAGTCCCCGGCCCGCTGTGCGACTGGAGTCACGCGGCCCCTTCCTCCACGTCTCCGACGCCCCCTGCCCCGGCCGACTGGCAGCCTACCCGGTGGAGCGGGGACTGTCTTTCTGGGAGGGGAGGGGACGCGGGCGCGCGCATGTCGCCGCCCCCCAAGACGCTAGGGTTGACCCTTGCACCGAGGCGCTCTGTGGGTGCGCGTGCCCGCGCGCCCGCCGCTGCTCGCAGACCCAGGGAAGAATCGGCGCGATCTGCGCGGCCCCCCTTCCCCCAGTCCTTCAGTCTGGCGACAGTGGGGGCCAACGGCTGCCGGGCCGCCCCATCCGCGGCCAGCCTGCTGCCGCCCACGCCGCTGCCTGCAGCCCAGCGGGCCGCACGCCGTTGCCTGCCCCGCGTGCCCGCCGGGCCCTGGGTCTCGGCGGCGGGTGGATTATCTCCCAGGCTGGGGCCCGCGCGACAGGGGAGGAGGCTGCCGGAGCTGCTGGCTCGGCGGCGGCCCGAGGCTCCGCAGGGTGAAAGTGACACAGCAAGAGCGCCGCCGCCGCCAGCGCTGGAGAGAGGAAGGAGCCGCCCAGAGCGCGGGGAGGGGCCGCCGGCTGTCCGGCCCCAGTTCCTCCTGCCCACCTCATGGTCTGGGCCGAAAACCTCAGGAATCCCGGCTCCGAGCAGGCTCGAGCCACGCAAGGAAATTGCCTGGCTTTCAGGAAAACCCAGTTATACGGGAACAGAATGCACCGAACAGAAGATGTGCAGGACACACTCAGGTTGCCTGAGGAAACTCCCCCTGAGTGTTTGAAACAGGATTCGATTTACATCTGTGGATGTAATCAGGATTCGATCATCGCATCTGTGTGTCCAGTATCCGTCCTGGATAAGGCACACTCAGAGGCAGTAATTTTGTAACACATTCAGGGGTACAGTGTCATCAGTGATTAACAGATTGCTAGAATAATAATATGTTTGTATGACATTACAGGGCTCCCCGTCCCCCATATCATTGCATTTATTAAGAGGATCAGTGAGGTAGGGGAGTATTAGCCCATTTTACAGATGAGCTCACTGAGATTCAGGAAGTGACATGACTGGCCTGAGGCCTTTCAGTAGGGGAAGGGCTACTTTCCTCTGATTTCTCTTATCAGCCTCTGGCTTTTCGTTTAAATAGTGGCCACTTTTTTTGAGAGTGGGTTCTTGAGGCCTCAGGAAGTACTGAACCCGAGAAAAGGGGTAAATTATGCTGGTACTTATTCTTTGTCAGAACATTTTTAGTTTGCTAACAGTTCCTACCGAGCATAGCCATTAAAGAACAGAAGTCTGCATCATTCTTATTACCACTCATTTAATAATTTGCTGTTGGGGAATGGATATGTTGTGATACATTCAGTATATACCAGAATCATATTCGCAAGTATTAAATGCATATGGTATACATGTTTATGCAATGCATGCCTATGTTCATATGGGTGTGTTCATGGGGTTCTTACTGAATCCAAGGTTTATTCTTTAGTTACTAGTTTCAAAGCCATTGGTTTCTTTCTCATGGAGCCCTGAGAAACCATCCCAGGTTATACTCCCTGTTCCCCTCCATCTCCAGGGATGGAAAGCTCTGAAAAGAGCAAAGAGCTCATACATGCTTGAATGTATTTCTCAGAGTTCATGTATATGAGGGTTCTCAGACATAGTCTGGAGGGTTTTTAATTATGACCAACCGATCAGCTGATAGCCATTCCTGCACAGATAAGTACTGGGCACCTACATATTTTTGTATCTAGAAGTGCACACAAAGAAAATTTAGCACACAAGTTTAGCAAATGTTTATTTAGCACCTATCTTACGCTAGATCCTCTACTGTGTTTTGATTACACAGAGATGGTGTAGCAGAAATAGCTAAGTTACAATGCAATAACAGAGCCTGCAGGAGGGAACAAATCATAAATATTTTAGAGGACTCACCCTGGCACTTAGTCAATTTTACATATGTTGTTTGCAAGGGGCCCATAATGTCAGTTCTTATCTTAGAGCAAATGCAGAAGGAAGCAACAGGAAAAAAGACCCTTATGTCCCTTGTTACCCTGAACTTCGGGCTGTTTGGAATCCCCCAGGTGCCCCAAAGGTAGGCCTTCTGTAGAAATCAAGCAGCTGGTGGGAAATTACCCTGAAGCCAGCCAACAGGCTCCTCTGAGCAGTGAGGAGCTGAGGAGATGGTCTCCATGGCCCGGCCCCAACTCTGATGTGCTGTGATTCAGTGAGAGGTTGTGGCTTTGGTCAAGGTTTCACTCAGGTCCTGCCTGGGTCTGGGAGTTTCTGTCTTACATTTGCATAGATATTTTCATATGGGTCTGATTTTTATCTATTCCCAAAGTCACTTCTGTGGTCCCTGACATTGTCCTCCAATTTCATTTCAGTCTTGGGGTCCGCTTGTGTTAAGCTTATGTTATTTGTACTTCAGATCATGAAGGAGGAATCAAGAGGTGGGTGGTTAGGATGGAGGGAGAATCCTGAGCCCAGATAGAGAACATGAGGTACAAACACACAGGCAAATAGCAATGTTTAAGGATTCTCCAAACTTGACGGCATCTCTGCATAACTTCCTCAATAATGTGGCAGCCCCTTTTCATGTTCTTTGGGGGAGGGGAGAATCCTCTCTCTCTCTCTGGACCTTATTGCTGACTCACTGGTCCCCTGAGCTCAGTTGCTCACTTTCAGGCTCGCTCTTTCTTCTGCCCCCCACTGCCTTCTGCACAAAATCTAATTTAGAACCATGCTGTGATGGTGGCCTTCTCCCTGAATTATCAATCACCACTCTGACTATCGACATCTGCCTCTTATTTCTGAATTAAGCCCAGGCCAGAGCTCTGGTTCAGAACAAGGGAGAGCAGACACATCCTTGGACCGTAGGCACCCAGAGCTGGGGAGGACCTTGCAGATGATCTAATCTCCATGTGAAGACCTTAAGGCCCAGAGAAGAGAAATGCCTTGCCCAAGGTCACAGCAAGCCCTTGGCAGAGTGGGACAAGAAATCCCGGATTTTGATATCTCATTCAATCTTCTTTCTCTATACCATGATACTTTCTGAAAAAAGTTGGGTCCTTACTTCCCAAAGAGTGAGAATTCTCCATCTTCATTTTCTTTGGTTCTGGAAAAGGCTCTGAAATTCATTTTTCTTAGTCTCGATATTGTTTTCCTTCAAGACTGACCTCTCCTGCCTTATCTTTCATTTTTGGCATCTAGGAATGAATAAGGGCATGTATTTGGGAGAGTTGGTGGGCCAAGGAGGACAGTAGGATTGGATAGGGGGTTGGTTGACACTGGGGACTGTTATAATATCCTACAGTTGATTTGCCTTTACAATTTGCAAGATATTTCACACAGATTATCCCACCTGCCTTTTACAATTGGCTGTTATCATTATCAGCCTGTGAGGCTGTTAT